GGGTCCCACTCCCAACGCTTTTAAGGTTTCAAAATTGGACCCTATTTATCGCATTACGCCGAATGCTGTTCGATCTTGTCGCGATAGCTGCATTTTTTTGTATACTTTCTATCAGTCACATAGTACATACCCTCAATTTCAAGTAATACTTAATAAGTGCGTTAAATTATGCCTACACAAATGCGAGCAGTTAACGCAGAAATAGATGAGATAGATTAGCCCGTTGCAAAAAAACAGCGCAGAAAACATAAAAAGCCGAGCGAAGCCGCCGATGCCAGCTAGTCTCTAATAATCCTGTTTAGTAGGGTTTAGGATAGCACAGGGAACGCACAGCATTCTCAAAATTTTATTTTAGTGGAATTAGTTAGTAGAATGTCAAAGAGTCGCTAGGAGGGTCTTACCTCAAACTTAGGTAGTGCGGTAGATAAAAGTAGAAGTCGAATTGCAAAACCTGGAAATAAAACCTTGTGGAATTATGTGAACGGTGGTTCGACTGTCGTAGTGTCATACCTTACTCTAAGATGTATTTATAGTAGGTGAAATTGAATTGAGGTAGAATCGTTGTTTTTTTACCGCAAATTCACTTAGGAATAAGTGGCGCCACTTCCTAGCCTGAACTTTTTGGCAAGGTTCGTCCTTACTTACCGTAACTCTACAGGCGGCAAAGCGTCTCCCTCTAGACAAGTTTCAATACGATCTGCAATGGGATCAGCTACTGTCTATTTGGGCATTATTACCTATTTTGACTAGAGTTCCAGTAGATGTCAACAACCATTGCAGGAAACAAATGTGTGGAAAATATACCTCATCGAAGAGTCCGCTACCTTTTACTACATTTACTAGAATGTTAGTTGGTGACATTTGCCACAGCCACCTGTTGTCTGCCCTAAATAAAAGCGGTACAGTCAGACGTGCTCCTCCTTTTCCCTTCTCCCCGCTTTTCATAAATCTTTGTAGTAAATATACAAAATCTACACTTATATAACTCCATCCGCTACACAAGGTAACACAAGGCCAGTCTTATCCCTATAAGGAACACATTAATTTAAGTAATCGCCATAGCTTATTTTCTTTGTGTTTATTTAGATATCATCCCCGAAAAAAAGGCTTAAAACACAGGATATTTTTTTAGCAAGCGCCAATTCAGCCAAAACTGCACTCGCTTCGCAATTGCTGCAGCGTCAAGCGATAACAAGAAGAGTTAAAATTACAAGTAAGCAATCTCTAGGTTGTATCTACAATATCAAACAAACGAATTAGCATTTCAAGATATAACTTAATCATATATGTCATTACCTAAGTGTGAGAAGACCGGGAAGAGATATTTAGTGACATAACCATTGTAATACCCCCGTTTTTTGTTCCAGTATAACAAACTAACCTTCCTTCTTTTGTACTTTAAGGAATTTGTATCAATTCAATCCTCCTTCTTCGGGGTTTTTGTACATGGCTAAGAGTGAGCTTATTATTTGGATTTCATGAAGAATCAAAATTACCTCCTGTTCTTTACTCAGAAAAACAATTTCGCATGCATACTTGTTTGAAGTAGCTGCCTTTGTGGTGAACTGCTCATAGGTATTTAATAAGATGCACACGTCTCTTATTTTTACATATGTTTAGAACAAATTTCTGGAAAAGGTATTGTATATGTATTTGTACTAAATTTACAATACTTCCATTTACCTGTCATTCCTTTTAAATCACACTTTGGAAACTTTACTAGCTTTTAAAACTGAAACGGTTGAAGGGTACTGAGCAAAATATGCTGAGGTAATACTGAAGAAAGTGGGCGGAAGGGGAGCGAGAGTTGAGTGTCTAAGATTAGTGAGGACAATATCACCTCTACAAATGCACTGCTATATACTGGAAAGTTTAAGAAACAGTGTTGACAAAATTAAAGATTTTTGAGTATTCATCATGTTATGATGGCCGACTCTTTAAGCTCTCCCTCATCAGACAAGTAATTCGTTGCGGTAAGCGAAAATCGATTCGAACGTTTAGCTTAGCTCATCCCTTCTAGGTCAGCGCGCCCACTCCGTGCTTCTCCCTCCGGTGCCGCCCCTGGCCTCTCTCAAAACGTGACCTCTAGCGGGCATGTGATCTTTCCCCCTAAGGTCAATTTGAAATCGTGGGCT